GTTTTTTCAGTATGTGTTTTTATTTGTTGTACGACTTTAAAAAAAATATTTATTTTCATTTCTAGAAGCAAAAATATTTTTTTATTATCTGAATGATATTAATTAATTGTTATTAGTTTCTAGCTGAATAAAGAAGAATGCCTAGGACCATTAAGCATTAATCAATTCCTAATGGATTAGTAAAAGTATCAAGCGCAGTGAATTGTAATAAAATATTCGTCTATATTTATATCATTTATAACTTTTACAGGAATATAATTTTTTCTCAAAAAGTTTTATCTAGCCTGACTTATTTCTGCAGTATATACATAATTCATTATAAGTTAATAATTTTTTCTGTTGAAATATAAAGTATAATTTGTACTTATATCTTATTTATAAGAGGATTCTGAACCCTACTCTTAATAAAAAATTATAATAATTTTTTCTGTTGAAATATAAAGTATAATTTGTACTTATATCTTATTTATAAGAGGATTCTAAACCCTACTCTTAATAAAAATTATGATAATTTTTCCTGTTGAAATATAAAGTATAATTTGTACTTAAATCTTATTTATAAGAGGATTCTAAACCCTACTCTTAATAAAAAATTATGATAATTTTTCCTGTTGAAATATAAAGTATAATTTGTACTTATATCTTATTGATAAGAGGATTCTAAACCCTACTCTTAATAAAAAATTATAATAATTTTTCCGTTATAAAATACATTGTACTTAATTTATTTCTTTTATTTAATTGTAAATCATGGAAGGGGGGGGACCCTCCAAAGTTTTCTGGTAGCAAGTTAGCAACAAGCCTAATATGGTTTCTCCTCTTCTCTTATTAAATGTTTGAAATAGAAGGCTTATAAGTTCTAATATGAAAGTTTGAAGTCTAATAACATCAGGCTTTCTCTGCATCCAGGTTTCAAGTTCTCTTCGAATTACTGTCTCCTCAATAACTAAGTTATGATGTGTTGAGAGAGAGAGAGAGAAAGGGTTGTATGGGGAGAGGAGGGGAGGGGAGGGGGGGGGGTAAAAGATGGCGAAATTTAACTCAAAAACAATATTTTATGTTTGACTTAAAAAGATATGTATGACAAAGCTTAAACCATAATTTAAACCCATTATTAAATAATTTACCGGTCCAAATCCTGGTAGAATTGAACTGTACTAAACTTAAAGGAATTGATTTAATTAACTTAGTTATTCTCATTAGCTGTCTTTAATTCACATTTAATTTTGATTTTATTAAATGGTTTTAAGCATCAATTAAACATACATTCTGTAGTACTAGGAATTCAATTAACAATATATTATTTAAAATGTTATTTAAAAGGTAACAGGGTATAAAGTTTAACTTCTAAGTCTTAATGTTTATCAAATTAAACCTTATATTTTAGAGAATAAGAACAAGTCATGATATAGTTTATTAGTAATATATTTGTAGGTAATTAACTATCATGCAGGAGAACATGTTGATCCGATGCAGGTTGGAGAACTACTGGATTTACACCAGCATATATATCTTTTCCCGTATTTTCTCCTTTTCCTTCAAGGATTCCTAGTTCAGATTTAAGGAGAAAATAGATCCTCTACAATATTTGATTAATTCCTAATTGTTAAATTTAGTTTTTAATGAGATAAAAAATATATAAATTCAATATAATATTGTTTAATAACTTTCAAATATGATAGTATAGAAAATTGTGACCATTGTGTACGAGCATAATTTAAAAAAATCCGCAAATCATCTTACTAAGCGAGCAAATGAGCATAGATAGATTCATTTATTCATGTTTTTGTTGCTAAGGAGAAATCTGGCTCAATATAATAGTTGACGAAAATTTGAATTAGAATAAATGCCAATACCTTTCCTAAACTTTATACCTTGCACTGAAAAAAAAAATCCAATTTTTAACTTCATGATTTTTTTAGATCTACAATATTTCTTTTAACAAAAGCATTTCAGATGTTCTTGGAATAAGCTCATTATTCTTATTTCTTACGAGTTCCCAATCAGCTTTACGCATAACTATCATTTGCTACATTCTTATATTAATTCTTTCCATTTTTCTTATTCGTTTTCTTTCCTTCTTTTTTCAGTCTTCTATTTAAATATTCTCTTTTTATGTATTTTATACATGCATGCAACTAAAAAGTTGCAGTATCTATAGATAAAATTTGGTTTTTGTTTTTATAACAAATCTTTGAATCAGTTTACTAAAGGTTTTCATCAAAACCTTTCGAGGCAAAAATACATATATTTGTAGTTATATTATATTATTAAGGTGATTTGGAGGTTCATTGTCTCTATTGATTAGCTTATATTCATAAATTAATTAATACACATAACAACATGTATATGCCGACATCAACTTTTATCTAGAAAAAAATATTTTATCAGTAGAAATATGTGGGCCGGACATTGAACTCAATTTATTTTATTTGAATTTGAATTCTTAAATGTTTTTAAACTTGAATTATTTTTCTTACCAGCTATTGGTAAGAAAAATTATGTGTTAAAATCCAACCAACAAATTTAGATTAAAAATGTAAACTGGTTTGATAAAAAGTTACAAATGGTTCACTTTTATTGTTAAATTAATTGGTCCAACCTACACACATTTATCCCTGTATGTTCTTATAAATATAGTCGGCTGGCATACAATTACATTTTCGTTTGGAATAAAAAGTCTTTATTCAGAAGGCTATGAACACTATTGTTTTGGTTCGTAGCAATTTACAGTTTTGGGAATATATGTATATATATTGAAAAAAATTGCAAGCCTGAAATTAAACTTCATTGGTGTACAATTTATAATTTGTCTAATTTCGTTTGGTTTGGTGTGTCTGTAAATATGTTTAGTTTGGTGTGTCTGCAAATATGTTTGGTTTGGTGTGTATGCAAATATGTTTGGTTTGGTGTGTATGAAAATACGTTTGGTTTGGTGTGTATGCAAATATGTTTGGTTTGGTGTGTCTGCAAATATGTTTGGTTTGGTGTGTATGCAAATATGTTTAGTTTGGTGTGTCTGCAAATATGTTTGGTTTGGTGTGTTTTGGTTTGGTGTGTCTGCAAATATCTTTGGTTTGGTTTGTATGCAAATATGTTTAGTTTGGTGTGTCTGCAAATATGTTTGGTTTGGTGTGTCTACTAATATGTTTGGTTTGGTGTGTCTGCTAATATTGGTGCGGCAAACTTTTAAAAAAATTAAATCTGAAGAAATTTACGGAAAACATTCAAATCTATAAATTATTGTGGAGGAAAAATTATTTTTTCAAAATTATTTCATTAAAATTTGTCCATAAAAATATTTAAAAGTTATTAAGTATGAAATAGTCATCGTCGTATATATCAATACAAGGAGGACTAATTTCGATTTAAATTTTTATTTCTTCCAAGCTTCTTTTTGTTGGCTTGTAAAATTGTAAGTTGAAAAAATGTTGTTAAAAATTAAAACTTAAATCGAAAAATCGTCTTCTTTGTATTGATATAAACGCCGAACACTGTATCTTTTTCTTCAGATAGGCTCAACTTGGCCCTAGTATGTATCTATTTATATATGCAGTAGCCCTACACAAAAAAGAGTAATAGGATTGATTAGCTAAACAATAGAAATAGAAATATTTTATGTTTTCGCTCATAATTCCTTTAATAAAAGAGCAATTTAGAAGAACCGAAATATTCTGAATTTACAAAATACAACCGGATAGATCCGGGTTTCTAATGCTTGTGCACAAAATCAAAACTAGAGGAGCTACAGGGTAACAAAGTCGTAGCAGTAATGTCGCATGCATTTAACCGTTCCTTCTGTTTAGTTCACAGTAAGTGCGTAGTGATCAATTCGCAGATTGCAAAGATCGAAGAAGTTTTCGTTGGTTGAAAATGTTAGTTGTGCTCATTTGCTTTAAACAGATTGACTCAGAATTCCGTACATACAGAAACCGGTTCATTTGAAGTACAGTGCCGACTTTAAACCTGCTAGAGCAAGCATTACAGTACACATACAGGCATTATAAGGCAAAACGGGACTGTACACCAATACCCTCCTAGTTAAATTTCTGTGCTGTAGATATCCCCCTATTCAGGACTGAAAGGTTATCATTAGTAAACAAATACATGTTTGATTTTATCTATCTATGTAATCTATGAAAACTGAGAACACACCCCTCAGCAGTAAATCTAGATTTTAAAATTCAAGGCAAGTAGAAACAGAGTAACGAGGATAAATTCAAAGTTAAATCTTGTTTTTATCAACACTTAAACTACACAATACTAAACAGACAACATGGGGGGGGAAGCTTTATAATATTTGTAATGTGTCAAATTTTTCCAAAAATTAAATATCATCTCTAAATTAATCCCTTCTAATTAAACTAATGTACAAAATTTGATTAAAATTAAATATAAAATCGATGTTTTTACGAACAGTTTTTTTTCGTTTTCATTAGAATTTTCTACTAAATAGTTTCGCCGCTGAAACTGAAGATTAGCTGCCCTTGGTGTGCGATATGCTGATGCAAAGTTCTACTCAAAGTTCCACCTAAAATTGTATTACATTCTTCAAGATTTAAGCCGGCGCTCAATTGAAACTGGTTTTTGGGGGATTTGAGACGCGGCTTAAATTCATTAAATTCGGACAATGGTCAACTATATCAAGCTTAAACTATATTTAGGAGCTGAGAGTGGACTGCATGAACGGAGATTACTAAATGATCTCCTGTTCAACTATATCAAGCTTGAACTGTATTTAGGAGCTGAGAGTGGACTGCATGAACCCCTCTTAAAACGTTTATTCAAATATAGACAGTTTAATTAACAAGTTTAGTTTAATCACAATGTTTTACTCAAAAACAAATTATAATATAGTATTACAGCATACTTAAATCAGAAAACTATTGAGATCATTAAATAGCCCTTTAGAAGGGCTTTAATTTGATATACGACATGTACAGTTCGGAGATTACTAAATGATCTCCTGGTTAGCTATATCAAGCTTGAATTATATTTAGGAGCCGAGAGTGGACTGCATGAACGGAGATTACTAAATGATCTCCTGGTTAACTATAACAAGCTTGAAAGACCTGTTGTTAACGAATCTGATGCTGTTGTACTTACATTTGGTTTAACACTCCAGCAGATTATCGACGTGGTAAGTACCGCAGAGTAGAGATTAGATAAACAATCTTTATAAATATTATCAAATTTAATTATTCTTAAAGATTGTTTGATTTTATTATTAAAGAAAAAGTGCTAAACTATGTTTAATTGGTTGAGAGTAAAGTTTAATTTGTATAATTAAGAAGTTGTGATGGGGAGGAGGAGAGGGGGGTGGGATATGATATTCTCATGTATTCTAACTGTAGAACATATAAAAGTTTGGATGAAGAAGGAAGGGTTAGGCCTGAAACTTCAAAAGAAAACTACATCAAAGCCTAACTTCTAAAGAATGCCTTGCTTGATATATGTATATATCAGTCAGATCATACAAGTGCTCAAGTTGCAAACTAAATATATGCGAAACTAAACTTTGTCTGAGTTCTTAAATGGATGGAATTCTATCTCTTGAAGAATAAGAAGTTAACAAAACGAATATATTTCACTGACAGAAAATAATCAAATATGGCAACAACCTGAAATGTTAAAAGTATCAAACATTACTGCAAAATTGTTTAAGATAGTTTGAAAATATGTTAAGAAACTTTTATTGAACAAACTTCTGATCCATGGAAGTAAGAAAAGTGAAGGAATCAGTTGTTTCAAATTTAGTTTAAAGCAGTACTCCATTAAAAACTGCCAATATCTTCCGAACACATTCGTCTTTTTCAATCCCCCGGATGATAGGGAAATTTCCCCCCTGTCATTATTTTATATTCAACTCCGCGCACACAAATATACAATATATATATATTCAAAGTATAAAATCTATTTGCTCTGTTCCTAAATCTCTATTCATTATTCAATGAGATTGGAACTAAAGAGAAAACTTGGGGTTTACTTGTTCTTTTACTCCGCCTGAACAGGGACTGTTTACAAAGTTTAATTAAACTTTATTATAGAAAAGTTTCCTTTTAAAAACATGTATCTGAGGAACGATGTTTAGGTAAATTGTTCTACTTTACTTTTATAAACAATCCCTTTAAAATACAAACACCACTACTTACAAGACACATATCGAACAAATAGCCAAATATTCTCATTCTTAGAGATTATGTCCTTTACACGCACCTCTGCCCCTTTAGTAAAAGTAAATTCAACCTATATGAAGCATTGAGTCTGACCGCGTCAACCTTGTTTCACCGGCTAGTCCTGTCCATAGAGCTAGGTACAGTACAAACTGGGACCGGAAATGTTCACCCGGCTCGGAAATTCAATGTACCACGGCTGACCGTAATCACAGAATATACTACAAGCGGACATATCTATTTCTGAAATCGTTCTCAAGAATTAACAATTCAAAAAATGTCTTATCTTATTTTCTATAGATTTTAAAATGACTAAAATATATTATAAACAGTAAAACCTATAAAACTGTGGAATAGGAAGACGAATGTCGGACTCAAGTTATGATTTCAAACATGAAACACAGAAATTGTTAAATTTGGTGTGCTCAGTACGTTGATTTTAAAGCCTGTGGTAAAATAACAAACTATTAGGTTTAACACAAAATCAAAGACACACAAGATTAATTAAATGTCGTCGTCCTATTCCACAGTTTTATCGTTCCGAATGTAGATATATATATTTATATATATATATATTCATATATACATAAATATATATAATAGAATAAAAATTTGAAACTTTTTAATGAAAATTTTAATATATTGAGGTTTTTTTTTAATGTAAATTCTTTTGGACGATTTAAAAGATAAGTAGAAACACTGAAACAAGTGTCAGAATTCATATTTTATCAAATAAAGATTCATATATACAATGTACATTGTACATATTTCTAAAATTTTTTCAAATTCTAAATATAAAATTGTGTGATTAATTCAAAGTTATGGTAGATGAAATCTTCTTGAAATAAATCAACCATTTTGGTTTATGGTAGATGATATCTTCTTGAAATAAATCAACCATTATGGTTTATGGTAGATGATATCTTCTTGAAATAAATCAACCATTATGGTTTATGGTAGATGATATCTTCTTGAAATAAATCAACATTATGGTTTATGGTAGATGATATCTTCTTGAAATAAATCAACCATTTTGGTTTATGGTAGATGATATCTTCTTGAAATAAATCAACCATTATGGTTTATGGTAGATGATATCTTCTTGAAATAAATCAACAGTAGTTTTTATGGTAGATGATATTTTCTTGAATTAAATCAACCATTATGGTTAATGGTAGATATTATATCTTCTTGAATTAAATCAACGTTTATGGTTTATGGTCGTGTTTATCTTTTCAGTTGTATACTGTATATGTAGCACACACATTTTATACATGTCTTACAATATTTTAGTTCGGTTTATTATTAGGGTTCGAAATTTATAAATGCAATTTAAGCCTAGTTTAATTACTGGTCTAAGATTAAAGTGAAAATAAGCGCCTTAAAAAACATGGATAGTGCTTAACTACGTTACAGAAAAATAGTTGAACTAGTCTTACTTGGTTTAACTTTTTACAACTATTGGTACTTTTTAGCAGCAGCGTCGTACAATTCTGTTGAAATCTAATTGAATTTCATTGAAAAAACTTAGGACCTCTGTAATAGATCAAATTTAATTATTTACAAATTAAAGCACTTACATAACACAAGAATATTTTAGAGTTTAAGAACAAGTAAACACCTTGTAATACAAGTTATCAGGATTCTTGATGCTCTTGGAACAAATCGAGGGTTGTTTGTACATGTATATGTAGTTGTACATGGTAAAGGGTACATGGTAAGGGATTTACAGTATATTATTTGGCACAAAACTCTAAATCAGGATAAATTCCTTTAAACTTAGTCCATATTTTCCATATACAGGACTTCTTGTGTATTTTTGATTTTAGAAAACATAATATAATGAAACTTTTCCATTACTCTTAAAGGCAACTGCTACTTGTGATGAACAACCTTTGATTAGTTGACGGAGAAGAAAGCATAATCGTCTCTTTACGTCTAGTAGTTCTAAACTCATTGTTTAAACCGGCCCTGGTCCCTACTACCTTATTTCATATATATAGGATGAAAAGAATCAAATTCTGACTACGAATATTTGGTTAAATTTGGTAAGTTTCTGCCAAACAAGGATTGGCATACAGCTCACAGATGTAATGTATGTATTTTGCCTGTTTTATTTTCATTGATGGCCTGTGAGGTGTATGCGGTGATAGAGCATGAAGTTTTGTGTTTTAACGGATTCATTCTGAAATACATGAATTACATTTCAACTCTCAGACAATCATACATATTATGTAGTGAGATATACTTCATCTCAGCCAGGGGCGTCAGTAGAGGGGGGGGGGGGGGTCTGTTCATCTTGATTTAACAGATAAGGAGACCATGGATAAACGTAACAAGTTTGGAATGCAAGATAGAATTTTCAGAACCAACGTTAATCCTGGCCTTCTTTCGGGGCCTTTTCCTTGGCTGTTGACAATTAACTGAGTGTACTGTGCATGCTATATCTCTTACGGGGTTGTTTATTTTTCTTTGGTCAAATAATTTTCTAATTGTTGAGTGTTGTCTCTATATAAACGCCCCTGGGTACTTTAGATCGTGTCGCCTGAGTATGTTATATAATTCATACTTTTTACACAAATTGACCTGGTTGCATAATTTGGTCCTTTAATACGGGAACCTATAGAGAAGGCGCACTGCTTGTAGATACAGGCTAGATTATATACTGAAGAATACTATACATGCTAGGCATGAATGTTGAGGCTATATATACCAACCACCCTCTACCAACTAATGTAAATTTTACCTTCAAGATCCTTGGGATCTACCTCTTTTATACACATGTCAACAAAAGTATTTTTTCGTTTCTCGGGTCAGAGCGGCGACAAAATGCTTTTTTGCCTTTATCAGATGTAAAAAGCTTTTCCCCCTACATTAGACTTTTAACAGGATGAGAAAAACCAACTTCTGACTGCAAATGTTTGGTTGAATTTGGTAAGTTTATGGTAAACTGCCATCCATACAGTCAAAGGACACGCCCTTAGCATGATATAATCCTAGTTACGTGGAACCAAAACATAAACATATATATATATATAGTTATATAAATATAAAGACAAAACCAGTTTTTTTATCATCAAATGTTCTGGTTCCATAATATAGCATGATAATAAAACCTTAATTTAAACTTATATCTAATCTAGACTCCTAATCCTTAAAATAAATCTAGGAGAACGGTTAACCATTACTGATATATTTGTTCTGTGTTGAGGTTGGTAAATGGAAGGAGAAGGGGGGGGATAGCGCTAGAATTGTTTAGAAGGTTCCATTGCACGTTTTAAACGTTCTGAATAGATCCCTAAGAACCAACATAATTAGTGTTCTAACGTGTATTTAAAATAAAAATTATTACAAAACAATTATTCCTCAATCCTGCGCTTTTATACTCCTTGGCCCCCTGGGGGAACATCTATTCTGTATATATGGTTCTATCCTATATATCTAGTTCTATTCTGTATAAATATTTTATTCTGTATATCTATTCTAAGCAGGGGCGGATACAGGATTTAAGTGGGGGGGGGGGGGTGCTAGATTTATTTCGGAACAAAAAATTCCAATTTAGGAACCAAAAGGCGAAATTTTTTTTTAACTTAAAGGGAGTGTTCGCGAAAAATGAAAGGGGGTATAGGCTTAATGCGATAAAAAAGCGCTTTTGATCGCTACTAATCTTACTTCTATCTGTTGCGTCTATAAGGAGAAAATTGATAAAGACGTCTCATGCCGAAGAGCGTAGCGCCCATACAAATTGAGGAAGTTGGAACATACGACTCAGACTGTAAAAAAATCAACTTAATATCAAACAAATCATTCAGATATTACAACCTATAGTCATCGATTATCTTTCGCCACATTTGTATATATTTAATATTTTATACTAGTTTTGATTTGGTTTTTTAAAATATTATTTAGCTTACAACTTGTTTTCGAACATTCCTGGAAAATATGAAAATGTCGTCTTCATTGCCAAAAATCCTCGAGACAGGAATACACGTTTTTATAAGTAACTCTCAGATCATAACAATTAAAACATATTATGAAAAATCAACTATATATAAATGTGGCGAAAGATAATCGATGACTATAGGTTGTAATATCTGAATGATTTGTTTGAAATTAAATTAATTTTTTTACGGTCTAAGTCGTATGTTGCAATTTTCTCAATTTGTATGGACGCCATGTTATTCGGTATGAGACGTCTTTAACAATTTTCTCCTTATAGACGCAACAGATAGAAGTAAGATTAGTGGCGATCAAAAGCGCTTTTTTATCGCATTAAGACTATACTCCCTTTCATTTTTCGCGAACACTCCCTTTAAAATACCCAAAAAGTGTCAAAATTAATGACCAAAGACAAAAAAACTAGATTTTTAACTTATCACACATTAAAGTTTATTAAGATAGATATTTTTCCTGTTTTGCACTAGGGTTTCTTTCCCTTAAGTGCTATTGAGTAGCTTTTCTGAAAATAGGAACAATTCCAAAAATAGAAACAAAAACATGAAGTTACGAAGCCCATTTTTATTTTCTTCTGAAAAAAATCACAAATTTTACTGTGTACTGATGATTCAATTATTCAATAAATATTATAATTCCATAAAAAAATTAAATAACTGGAAACAGGAATACACATACGATGTTTCGTTTTGGGAACATTTTTTGTCTCGAAATCTCAGGGGGGTGCGAAGGTCCTGCCCCCCCCCCTGTATCTTTCCCTGATTCTTAGTATGGAAGTATAACAAGTATAAAACTATAAACCGTAGAGAGGAACTATAATATGCAGAGGTGTATGTTGTAAAGGTTTATTACATAATATATAAATGGGAAACCATGCTACGACACAATATCAACCCAATCTAACTAAATATTATTCGATATAACAGAGTTGGGATCCAAGATGGTTCGGAAATGATGTATTTGCTGCAACACTGGTATGATTTTAAATACAATTGTATAAAGTGTGTACGATTGATTTAAACCAGAAGTCGGAACTTTTAAACCAGAAGTATGAACTTTTGAACCAGAAGTCTAAACTTTTGAACCAGAAGTCTGAACTTTTGAACCAGAAGTCTGAACTTTTAAACCAGAAGTCTGAACTTTTAAACCAGAAGTCTGAACTTTTGAACCAGAAGTCGGAACTTTTGAACCAGAAGTCGGAACTTTTGAACCAGAGATCGGAACTTTTGAACCAGAAGTCGGAGTTTTTGAACCAGAAATTGGAACTTTTGAACCAGAAGTCGTAGCTTTTGAACCAGAAATCGGAACTTTTGTATCAGAAGTCGGAGCTTTTGAACCAGAAATCGTAACTTTTGAACCAGAAGTCGTAGCTTTTGAACCAGAAGTAGGAACTTTTGAACCAGAAGTCGGAACTTTTGACCCAGAGGTTGGAACTTTTGTGTTAAGTATCTTGATACCCAATGATGTCCCTATTAATAGAGGATGAATGCTTGATTCCTAAATTTTGATTATCCCTACAGGGATCGATATCAAAGTGGAATTAAATTAATCTGTCTGCATCAAAAGTTCTGACTTAAATTTACTTTGTATCAGATTTATAATTCTTGTTTACTCCACAATTATCTAAAGCGTGTGTTCTGATCGTTATTTCCTAAACTGAACTTTTTATTTTATCTAAAATTGTAAATAAAATGTGGGGCCCTCTAAACTTAAACTGCAGTAGAAACATATATATAAAGGAAATGAGTTTTTGCCACAAACTCCAAAATTATTATCACTATTTCTGTGCAACCCGATTTTGTAGATCTTAGATATTTCAAACTATGAATTTTATATGAACAATGAAAGGCTAAGTTTAAAATATCAAAGGTTTACACCATCAGGTTTAAAAGAAATAGGGATTAGAAAATTTGAGTTTGTGGCAAAAACTCAGTTCCTTTGTCCCAACTCTGTGCTTATACAGAGTGTCCCTATATCATATTTAGATTATTTTTAAGCTTTATCGCCAAAATGAAAAAATAATACTTGAAAAAAATAGCATTTTCGACAAATCTTATAGAAGCCTTATTCGATTTTACAAAATGATTGCTTACCTTCTTGAATTTTCTGATTAGTCCCGAAAATCGTAATTTAGACACATTGACGTTCTAATATGATATGGGACACCCTGTAATTTAAATGAAAGTAGAATTAAGGAAAGCTTCTCAGGGGTTGTTTTCATTTACCTATCACGTAGTAGGACAGGTTAATAAGAACTAGTTTTATTGTAAACAATAATAAAGATTTTAAAGGTTCGTTGTAGAAAGGCCTTATAACTATGATTTTCTAATCCCTGTATCTTTGCAACCCAATGTCGTATATCTTAGACATTTCAATCTATGAATTTTGTTAGATAAAAAAATCTAAGGTTTACAAAGACTTCATTCCTTAGCGTAAGATAGGGTAATATATTTACAATAAAACTAGTTCTGGAATCGTCTAAAAGCGTCATAGTTTTAGAATGTGAAGAAACCTTAAAGCTCCTCTCATTAGTTGACTATCTTCTTAATCTATCCTGGGGGTTCAGCTACACTGAGACTAATGCTAGACACCATTTACTCAACTCTTGGTCTAATCTCACCTTAATTTAAATTTTCCTTTTCATTTTATAAACTCAATTTATTTTATGTTTATTTTTACATTATTCAAGGAAAATTCAATTTTTTTCGAATTTTTGTTGTCTTTTTTCTTTCTCTTTGGAAAAATTGATAAATAATATTCTGATGTCGGAGAATTGAGGTTGTCAGAATATTCCCAGCATATTCTAAATTTATTTTCTCAATTCTTAGTAATTTGAGGACAGGCGAAAATGTCTGTCAAGTATTTTCATCTTTTGTTAAGAAACATCTGGAATTTTGTCCTTCCCGAGTCCAGCTATTCTGGCTCAAACCAAATATTTTCATTCACAGAGACTAAAGTTGATTCCATTGAGACAGAGTTTAAGTTTAGCTTTCCAAACTTAAGTTGGTAGTTGCTGAACTTAAGCTCAGTCTAAAAGGTTTGAATTTTGGCTTGGTATTTATTTTAGGGTTGATATAACTTTAAAACATCTAAAACAGTAGTTAATTAAATCACTCAAACGTAACGCTAAATTTTCACTTTTTGCACGCATCTTGTTTTTTTTGCATGCTTAGATACCGTAGATAGAGTAGATTATATGATAACAATATATATTAAGGTAAGATATCGTAAAATGGGATTGGGCTGAGGGGGGGGGGGGTAGATTCAACATATACCACCGAATACATGATAAATATATTAAACTTTTAGCAAACATTGCTTTGGAATATTCCAGTTTACTTATATACAGGGTGTCTCACGAAACATGACAGTTGGTGATTTGTTTCGAATGTCTTCTTCCATATTTTGTATTGGACATTAAAGATTTTTTGCAGTTTATTTCGTAAAAAAAAAAACATATTTTCCTCAAATTTGTTTTGCTTTGAAATCACTTTTACTATTATATGATTGCCATATAATATTTATCATTCTCTTCAGAATCAAACAACTTTACTAATTATGGAAGAAGACATTTTAAACTATTCACCAACTGTCATGTTTCATGGGACACCCTGTATATTTTTTTTCTTTCATTCACACTTTGATTTGACATTGAAAGTTTAACCTTTTTATAAAAATATCATACACGATTCAGATTCACAACGGTACCCTATATATAACCCTTTAATTGAACAATAAAAAGGAAGTTTTCGTTTTACTCTTAAAAAGTTTAATTAGAGAGCAAACATAATCGGAAAACAAAGAAAAAAGCATGTCTCCACTATTTTGTTCATGAAAAGGGTTTTAGGGTACCGCAGTGCATTGAGCATGTATTTCTTAAATGAAAGACCATCTCCATACACCGACAGCTTCCTTAAAAATTTGGAAAAATTATTTTGAAACAAAATTTCGAATTGCACCAACAACTTTTTTCCAGTTGAAATATATTGGTTGAAATATATAGTTTATATTTGTTAAATTTTGTGTCACACGTATGAAATTCTAAAAACAAAATTATGAGCTAACCTGAAAATAAATTAGCTAAAGCAATATTTGCTAAATGATTAGTTTGTTCTCAGGGCTAACTAACATAACTACTTATGGAATTAATAATCAATGAAGATATTTATAACTTTATAGCTTTAATGGTCAGCTTAAACCTTTTAAACATTTGATATACTAGCCTTAGAGGGCGCTTCGCGCCCATCTTCTAAATTAATTGTTAACATGTTCTCTTTGTGTACCTCGTAAAACAAAACAAAAATAATTCGCGGATTTTCACAAAAAAATTCGTGGATTTTCTAAATTTTCAAAAATTTAATGAAGATCAAATTTGGTGGAGACAAATATTTGAAATTTTGATCATTCATAAACCTTCCCTGTGGTCACTTAATGTTCCACAAAAAATTTGGGCCCGATCGGTTCAGCCGTTTTGACGTTTATTGGATACAAACAAACAAACAGACACCCAGACAGACAAGGCAAATTTATATATAGATTAATATAGATTATTATATATAGATATATTGTTTGATTTGTTTTTAAACTAACGGAAATAAAAACCAAGCTCCACGTTCTATATATGTATGTATGATAAACTTGAAAAATTAATTAAATACTGTTCATTGTATGCTGTACACTGTACAGGGCACATTAATCTGTTTCGAAGGCTCAGGATTAAAATATTTTTCTTTTAAGAAACTTTAACTTTCTTGTTAAGAATGGAAATAACTTATTCAATAAACAGGAAATCCGCTTCCTTTGTTTTCCTTTTCGGGTTTACGCTTTCATGCCTTTCCTACCCTTCCTATCCGTTTACAGTATCCTACTTTTCCTATCCGTTTACAGTATCCTACCCTTTTTATCCGTTTACATTATCCTACCCTTCCTATCCGTTTACAGTATCCAAATTTTCCTATCCGTTTACAGTATCCTACTTTTCCTATCCGTTTACAGTATCCTACCCTTCCTATCCGTTTACAGTATCCTACTTTTCCTATCCGTTTACAGTATCCTACCCTTCCTATCCGTTTACAGCATACCTGCCCTTCCTATCCTTTTACAGTATCCTACCCTTCCTATCCTTTTACAGTATCCTACCCTTCCTATCCTTTTACAGTATCCTACCTTTCCTATTCATTTACAGTATCCTACACTTCCTATCTGTTTACAATATCCCACCCTTCCTATCCATATGCAGTATCCTTCATCTTTCCTATTCGTATACAGTATCCTTCACCTTTCCTATTCTATATCTTCTAATAGGAAATATAGTAAACTAAAATCTAACAGAGAATTACCTTTATCGAAGAAGAAACAAAAAGTATCTTCATTAAAGAAAAGTTTAAAAAGTACAGTGTACAGTACAGTGCGGTACAGTTTAGTGTACAACAGAACAACTTTTTTCCGGTTTCATTGGTAAAATATTTTACATATGCTAAGTCTGGGTTTATTAGGAGAAGAGGGGGGAGGGGATGAATACTATTCATTTCATAATTTGCCATTTCGTTCATAATTGATTAAATTTAGGAATGGACCGACGTGAATCTACGGTGGAACGAGTCCGAATACGGAAATGTAAAAGATATTAGAATACCGCCATCTACCATCTGGAAACCTGATATTCTAATGTACAACAGGTAAACCATGGCGCTTCTCGTCCATTCATAATTGACAAGAGGTTGAAACGTTTCCCCTAGATAAAGCTGTTTTTAACATATTTTTTCTAAAAAAGGATTAAATTAATTCCTTTTGGATATCCCGTGGCTTGAACCCAGCAGGGATATCCCGTGGCTTGAACCAAGGAGGGATATCCTGTGGTTTGAACCCAGCAGGGATATCCGTTTGAACCCAGGAGGGATATCCTGTGGTTTAAACCCAGCAGGAATATCCCTTGGCTTGTACCCAGCAGGGATACCCCGTGGCTTAAACCCAGCAGGGATATCCCGTGGTTTGAACCCAACAGGGATATCTCTTGGCTTGAACCCAACAGGGATATCCCGTGGTTTGAACCCAGCAGGAATATCCCTTGGCTTAAACCCAACAGGGAATATCCTGTGGCTTGAACCCAGCAGAGATATCCTGTGGTTTGAACCCAACAGGGATATCTCTTGGCTTGAACCCAACTAGGATATCTCTTGACTTGAACCCAACAGGGATATACCGTGGTTTGAACCCAGCAGGAATATCCCTTGGCGTAAACCCTACAGGGAATATCCTGTGGCTTGAACCCAGCAGGAATATTCCTTGGCTTAAACCCAACATGAAATATCCTGTGGCTTTAACCCAGCAGAGATATCCTGTGGTTTGAACCCAGCAGGGATATCCCTTGGTTTGAACCCAGCATGAATATTCCTTGGTTTGAACCCAGCAGGGATATCCCGTGGTTTGAACCCAGCAGGGATATTCCGTGGTTTGAACCCAGCAGGGATATCCGTGGCTTGAACCCAGCAGGAATATTCCTTGGCTTGAACCCAGCAGGGATATCCCGTGGCTTGAACCCAACAGGGATATCCGTGGCTTGAACCCAGCAGGGATATCCGTGGCTTGAACCAAGCAGGAAAATTTCTTGGCTTGAACCCAGCAGGGATATCCCGTGGCTTGAACCCAGGATGAATATTCCTTGGCTTGAACCCAGCAGGGATATCCTGTGGCTTGAACCCAGTAGGGATATCCGTGGCTTGAACCCAGCAGGAATATTCCTTGGCTTGAACCCAGCAGGAATATTCAATCAAGCACTTTATGTTATTTATCAATGATCTAAAATCAAAGACGACATTTAAGTCGGCTCTCAATTCCCATGTTTTTCGGGTCACCCTGCAGCAGCACTAACTTTAACTTGTACCAGACATACAATCAATGATCATTTGATTCCTAGAAATTAGAAAAAAATACTAAAAATGGAGAAAGTTAAGAAGAGTTGGACAATGGAGACTCTAAATCAGAAATCTATTTAAAACTTTGTTTTGTATTCGGAGACAAACTCTGCAGAGCATTCATGCTAGACCTTTGTATTACACTTTAAACAATTCAAATAGGTAACTTGACAATTTTGTATTCTAGATTTTTAGGTACAGGGTGTCCTACGAAACATGACAGTTGCAAGACGATTTGAAGGTCGTTTTTGGTTTTTGAAATAATTTCTGACCCCTTTTAAAATCATTGGTGTTAATAATCACAAAATACCTCTATTCATGGCATTTTTTGTGCTTTCAATAGCACTGCAGATATGAACAAATTCGTTCAGATTTCGACGATTTCTCCTGTAATATTGACAGCACAAGAATGGCAGACCACATTTTGGAAATGCCAGGGCTATGCAAATTTTAAATTGCTTTAAGAATCATAAATGTTAAAGCAAGTTGACGACTGCATGTCACAAATAAATTCAAAAATCAAAGACGACGTTCAAGTCGTCTTGCTACTGTCATGCTTCGTGAGACACCCTGTATTTCTTACCATTTGTTTTGTTTAGTGCGAGTGAAGCTTTTGATGGAACCTATCCAACCAATGTTGTTGTAACAAGCAACGGTGGATGTTCCTATATACCGCCTGGTATATTCAAATCTACGTGTAAGATCGACATCACCTGGTTTCCATTCGACGATCAGAACTGCGACATGAAGTTTGGAAGCTGGACCTACAATGGATTTAATGTATGTAACTCTTACTTAATCTACATTCATTCAATTCATCCATTTTCATGAAATATCACAAAAACCTCTTGAGTAAAATCAATTCATCCAAATCTGCCAATATATATCCAGCTCCGGAGCTTTTATAAAATTAAATAAAAAGTAAAATGGCTGAAAGTAAATTAAACTTCAGAATATTTAAGATCCCTATAAATCTTTAGAACTGTTCTCATTTCGCCTCTTTAATCGCAAGCTGTTAGAATGTTATGGAGAAGATAAAGAAAAACAAACAATATTTCTTTTATTCCACATTCAGACTTTTCCATTATTGTTTTTTCTAAAACTCATAAATTTTTAAACCTTATCTAACATTAATTCCTATTAATGGGATTATACTCGTTATTTTAAGTGACCTTCTATGCAATGATGGCAATGGCCGATTTACAACGGTACCCTTGAAACATAAATCTGTTCAAAATGTGGAAGATAACGTCGTTTTTCTGGTTCGAAAAGTGTTTATTTTTATGCGTTTCTCTTTGCTTTTTATAAACAAGAAATACGCACGTCACTTTCGCAGAGAAACCGGAAATGAAAATGAAACAAAAACATTGATATATAATCACATCATTTCAGCCTGCTTATAAAAATTTTCCTCAATTTTTAAGACAGGGTCAACTTTGAAGTGTCAGTTGCAACGCCTCGGGCTTTGATTTTACCGCTCTAACTCATTTATGCTTTTCTGTAGCCCTTTACATTTACATTTTAGCACTGTAAAGCACTTGTTTTTAGCTTTTATCTTTAAGAAGTTAATGACAAAATTCTCATACATTTTTGCTTGAGAGCTTGCAACCTTTAAATAACAGTTTAAGTCATACTTAAGTCGGACTAAGCTTTCAAGGGTTCCGTTGTCAATCGTGCATTGCCATCTTTGTATGGAGGGTCACATAAAATTACGCGTACAGTCCCTTTAATACTCAACTATTCACTTTGTGTGCTTTGGGGTAGTCATAAAAAATATTTACATTTTCCTTAATTTTCGAAACATGAGTTCTTCCCCCCCTCCCTCTCTTCTTTCTCTGAAACAAACATATATAGATATATAAATTCTGGTCTGAATCTGGGGGAGCATTCTCATTTGAATAATCGGTATTAAATAGCACACCATTCCATAATTTGAGCACATAGACACAAACTAGATACGTCACCACCATTTTCTTCTGAAACTTATCAAACCTTATTTCTAATGGTTACAGGAGCGGGGGAAGGCACACAACACAATTATTTCGTCCGCACCACAAATGACGTCACAATTCACCATTATTTCTTCCGACCCACCTTTTGATATGCTTTATAACACCTTTTTAATTTAGGCAGCGTCATGTTATTAAATTTTATTTGATTTTGTTTAAAATGCATTTAGTTTGAGAATTAACAACGATATTTAAGCCCAATTTAGCACAAAACGGAAAATATGCGTGCCTCACCTATTTTTCTTCCGAACCACGCACTTTTCTTCTTGTTTCTTTTTTTTCTTCCTGCAATTTTAGATGATAGTTGCTAGGATTGTTAGAATTGAAAACTAGAGAGTAACAATTTTTCTGGAGGAAACATAGCAATTTTTTTGGATTTGCTTGAGGGATTATGAAATAAAACTATTATAAACGGTTTTATCCTTCTGAATCTTTACAAGATGTTTCTCTTTAAAAAAAACACAGCAGAATATTTTAAACCATTATAAACAATATGACATGTCTCAAAATTCAAATATGCTAATGTAAATTACTTTAAAAAAGAATGTAAACAATGCCGGACGAAAAAATGATGTATTGTGACGTCATTTGTGGTCGGACGAAAAACAGGCGAAGTGTGCCTTCCCTCCCTCGGTACACAGGGGAAGAAAAAGGGGGTGTACAAAGAAAATTTTTAATATCTTAGTACATGTATAGTGTACACTGGATGGGCCGTCTGTATATCATACACACTACACCGTGTAGTACAAATATTAAAATTTTATGAGACATCATTAATCATCAACAAAATTCTGATGTACAGTACAAGTATATCATTATTACTCAATGGACAACTTAAACTGTAAATTGTAATACTTTTTTTTCTGGAAAGCTTTAGCATAATCAAATCCAGTTCAAGTGTTTACTATTACCCTCAAAATTAAAAAAATTATCGTATTCTACATTTTTTGACAAAGTTGTTAAAAAATGGCATGAGGAGGAAGAACAAAAATGAAAATTGCGTTGCAAGGTCCTTTCCCTCGATATTAACAGCATACACTGTGATTTCAGTTGGATTTTCAACTTAAAGATGAAAAAGGCGACTTGGGTACATATGTTCTGAACGGGGAATGGGACCTACTAGGTATGTTGAGAGGGTTATACATCAACCTCTCACTAGTATTTATATTTTTATTTGGTTCTTCTAGTTTTACAGTTATTGCTGCTTGAGTTAAATACACTCGTCCTATATCCCCCGATTTATATATTAGGAGCCATTGCATCTAGTTACATACAAAACTACAGCGTGTACTGTACTGTACTCTACTGTACTGGATCATGGTTGAATATCACATTGTGAACTTTTAGTCTTACTTTGTAAAATTTTTGCAGTTGGACTTAAATTTAAAAAGTGACACGGGAGGCGATACGAGCACTTATATTCTCAATGGAGAGTGGGACCTAATAGGTAGAGTAAACTGGATTAACCGCCAGCTCTATACATCCCGTTTATGTGACCTCTACAGTTGGTAGCTCTCTGCATTAAATTATGGATTCCTTGTGTACTAAACTTATATTCTACCAACTTTAAATATAGTTTAAATAAGAATATTCTTTTGTTTCAATCTTTTAAATATATGACATGTGCAAGTATTCAACTTAATGCATAAAAAGAGGACAAAAAAATGAAAAAAAGTGTCATATTTAAAAGACAGAGTATAAAATGGAGCACTTTAATAATCCGAGTCATCACATAGATCCATTTAGACACAGTAAAGTTTGAGTCTTTTGGGAAAAAAACTTGCAAACAGAAATGGGGTTGTTTTCAATTACCGGAGAGTACATAATTCATTCCCTTTAGATCAAACTTGAATAAATTCGTCTTTTTTTAAGATAGTTCGAACTAATCTTATGTTTATAATGCTAGGAAAATCAAAAGCCTGAACCAGGATAAATTATAATTCCATGTTAAAAAAGTTCACATTCTGTGATCTTCACAGACTAAAATCCAAGCCTAAACTGCATGACTATTTTTGTTTGCATGATTTAAAAAAGAAAAAGCACTTACAAGGCATTTTTCACTTATTATGGATTAAATAAAAGTTTAAAAGCCTTGTAAGTGGTTCTAATAAAGATGATATTTAACAAGAAAACATGTAAATAACCGTAAGTAAACAGATAGAAACAGTATAAAGAATGTTTGAGTGATATGTGTACAAAAATTAAAAATAATTGTTGAAATCATTGAATATTTCAGAGAAAATTTTCAAAATTCAATGATTTGAGAAATTCCAAAAGAAGAGCATTTAATGTTTTTTTGCATGAATTTGCATGCTTGCAAGAAAAGCTCTTTTTTAAACACGATAAAACCAAAATATTATTACTATTAAAACTATTTATAACACTGTTACTTTGGTTCGCCGTGTTATAAAGTTTTTGGACAGAAATTTTCTCTTTATCGAGAAGGTTTTAAATTAAATTTTTTCCGAGGGACAAAATATAATCTGAAAAGGCGAGAACCTTCGAGATATAGAGAAAATTTAAGTCCAAAAACTTTACAGCCCGTCGTGCCAAACGATAGTGTTATAGGTAATTTTTCAATGGCTACTTTTAGATCAAATAAGCTTTAAAAACAAAGCAAAAGTCAAAACATAAAGTTGATTTCAATTTTATTTTCATTTCAATTGAAAAAAAATATTGTGGAAATATCCTAAATTTTTTTGAGAAAATCCGGGAACTAATCAAAACTTTATAGCACACGTGAACATCAGTTTCATTTACTGCATATTTAAAAAGTCGAGAAAAAAAATAAAAATGCATTCATAGAAAAGTTATAGACTTAAAGGCTATATATTTGTGTTCCAAAATTTCTCTCGCAAAAATATTTATATAAATGTACCAAATCGCTGCGAACTCATGCTAATTTATTTGTTCAAAAAAAAGGTGGGATAAATTTTGTTTTTCTTCAGTCCAATTTTTATAATTCAAAAACTTTATTAAAACTCTAAACACATTTAAAATTATAAGTTATTCAAGCTTTTTTACACGCATTATTTTATACAAACAAATAAAAACGCTTTAATAAAAAGATAAAGCATGATCTTTAAAAACCATGTTTATTTGATCATTTCAGTATTTCAATATTTGATTAAATCAGATTTACATACTTTATACTGTTAAATAGCATGTTGGAATCTGGATATTCATTTTTATACGTTAAAATTAATTTTATGCAGTTTTTTTTAAACCCTGTATCGTACATTTATGGATTTCCAGCTCATTTTATTCTGAATGGTTTGTTTAGTTTGATGGAGAAAATATGAAAATTTTTCTTTATTTGTAAACATCGGTCATAATTTGTACAAAACTTTGATGGTAAGTTGAAAGCATTAAATTATGTCAATTAAAAATAAAATTCGTGCAAATTACCGAAAAATTCCTCCTGTTAGCTACAAGCATGAATTTATTGCAAAATATTCAAGTACACAATAATGTACATCAATGTTGCAACTTTATATCCTTGAAGGGCATGTAGAGGATAAACTATCTTAGCCGACATTGCTTCTTTAAAAGAAAGTTTTCATGTTTTCTCTCTCATGTGTTTACATGTATAGAATCTTATATATGTATAGAGGAGGGGAGGAATATAGAAGCAAGTATTTTCAAGAAAATTATTAAACCATTTCTGACGAAATTACGAGATTTAATAAACTAATTTCTTTAATAACTAAATCATCTTATAATTCTGATTTTTAAATTATTATTTTAAAATATATATTTTTCTCAAATATATGAATTAAACTGAATTATATTGTTGAACTAAAACAATATGAAACTCCTCTCGTCTGTCTTCTAAAATGCATGAATAACTTTACTGTTTTTCTAGCAGATCATTCTTTTAAACAAATTCAGAAAATTTTAACTTTCAATTTTTACTTTTTTGTAAAAAGAAAAAGAATGGTCAGGATATTATTATATTCAAGAGATAGGCAATCAAACCCCTAAACTCTGAGTAGTTTAAGTAGAATATCTAAATTGCCTGTATCCGGAGATGCTTTGTTCAAATTGACATTAAAGCCACAACTGCGGAAGGGATGGGCTATAAAGTTTTGAAAATCTGATATTAATGGACGACCAAATTCCTTTTCCTTTTTATTCAATAAAATGTTTTTAAAAATCCAATTTTTTCAGATAAAACTTTTTAGTTTCAGACGCTGGTGGTGTTAATCCTACCCCTAAAATCAGGCAGAACCGACCTAAATCAGAAATATAAGCCGTTTTTTCTAATGCAATTTTCAGGCAGAAAAATAAGAAGATTTACATAATTTTTTAAACAGACGTAGCTTGAAATAGTTTGGATGTGAATCAGCCATTTATCCCTTAAAAACATGTTAACCGTCCTTTTAAGAATTAAATTTAAAATTCAAACAACATTTTTATTTCTGAAACTTAAAAAAAATTTAAGAAAGAAAATTTGTCTAACGTCATATCTTATTACAAGTTTAATATTAGTTTAAGTGTTCTTTATCAAATGTAGATTGCACTTTACAGACACTTCGAACAAATATATCGGGAACAATACGACTTGTAATTCTGATTTGGTGGTCTTGGCTGACTCAAAAAAAATACAAAACATGCAAACAACATAAAATCTAAATAGTCTAACTTTTCTCCGGAGGCGTACATAGGGGGGGGGGGGGTATGGGTGGGGACTCACCCCCTAGCGGAGCAGTTAAATCTATGGTTTCCAGGGGGTTTTCAGGCCCCAACGGGTGCTGAGCCCCCCTGGAAAGACAAAAATGTAAGCCCCACAGAACAAATTCCTGTGTACGCCCCTGTCTCCTTTTCTACATTTTTAAACATAGGATGAACCGCTATTGATTTATATTGTTTGCTCGAACGACGAGTGCGCGAGTTGAACTAGTTTTCACCGGTCCTATTACTCCAGGAGTGCCGGCTAAGAGAAACGAAGTTATCTACGAATGTTGTCCTGAACCCTACCTTGATATCACCTTCATCATACAGATCAGGAGGAGGACCTTGTACTACTTCTTTAACCTGATTGTACCCTGTGTACTGATTGCCTCTATGGCTGTACTCGGGTTCACCCTGCCACCGGACTCTGGAGAGAAACTTTCCCTGGGTGAGTACAGCTTGATTCTTTTTCTCTCAATAGCACTCCGGAGAGAAAGAATATTGTTTATACTACACAGAATACTAATACTATATAAGTATTGAGTTAGGCATGATTTGACTTCTTTTATCTAACGACGTAAATTTTCTTTTACCTAATTAAGAAACAAATAGGTATTTTATAAACTTGTATTTAATTCTTTGCAGAATTTTTATTGGCTTTTTTCTCAACTGCAAGGAAGTGTTACCAAGTTTTTAAAGGTTGTATAGGATAAACAGCTGAAAAAAATAAATAAAAGATTTTTTTTCAACATTGTATTGACGATCTCATCTAAAAAATGAATTTGCATCGGAGTGTTGATCATTTTGACATTGCTATTGTGTATTAAAATTTTTATTTCATTAATGCTAATTCTGTACGCCCTCAAAAAAATTGTCAGCACTGCTTATATAGAAAATAAAATATTAATAGATATTTGTTTAAAAAGTTGGACTTATTTTCAATATTTGATTTTACATTCAAAGGCAAGAAAAAAGTTTTCCAATAATTGGCAGAATTCCTTTAAAGCCAAGGCATATTGAAGCACTATTTACGGATAAAATAATAAGCAAAGTTGAATGAGAAAACTCTCGACCCTATCCCAGAGCTCNGGGGGGGGGGGGGGGGGGGGGAAGAGGTAAGAGATTTTAGGTAAAAAGAGAAGGCTGCTGCAGAACGGGATTTGTAGATCTGTTTTTTGCATGTTTTTTCTTTGTTTTTATTCTTATTTGTTTCCACACACCTGCACCGTTTTAAGCATCTTACAATTGAAATATTACTGGTCTGGTGTATAGTAATATACTTTTTTTTTTGAAACCTCTCTTTTTAAAGTATTTTTACGGTTGATTGCATTACAAACGCATTCGGTTCACCTTTACACGACTTTTTTAGGTGTAACAGTATTTTCCTTGACTGTTTCAGGATGTTACCGTTCACCTTTCCTTGACTGTTTCAGGTGTAACGGTTCTCCTTTCCCTGACTGTTTTTCAAGAGTCAGTATCAGATTCAATGCCCATAACCTCACTTCAAATCCCCTTGTTAGGTAATCTCCGCTCACGGAGACAGGCTCAACCATTTGGACCGTTCCAACCGTTCCAAACCAAGGGTTGCACTGGAACCATCAAGTTTAGATTGGACCGTTCCAACCTTGTTATCTAGACCAAGGGTTGCTCTGGAACCATCAAGTTTAGATTGATTTTTTCAGTTTCCTCTGAAAACTATGTACCCTTGGAATCAAAGAAGAAGTGGTGAAAAGTAGAACAGTTTTGTTGTGCATGGAGCATAATTATCTTATTGAATTAATCAATTCTTTTGCTAATATTAATCCGTGGTTTCTTACTTCAAGTTTTTATATATTACAAGTTGTATCATCAATCAGAAAAGTTATATTTTGTACTCAGCGTATAATTTTAAACTTTTTTCATCATGCTAAGTATACCCAGCTCACTATAACAAAGGGAAATCTTTCATACCACTATTTTTCTTCCTTTTTTGTAATACACATACTAGGATGATTTTACCTTTCATAATTATCATTTTGCTCCAAAACTATAAATTGTATGTAGGTTTTACAGATACAGGGTGTCCCACGAAACATGACAATTGGAAGACGACTTGAAAGTCGTCTTTGGTATTTGAATTTATTTGTGACATTTAGTCTTCTATCTACTTTAACATGTATGATTCTTAAAACAATTATCACATAATTCTCCTAGCCCTGGCATTTCCAAAAATTGGTCTGCGTTTTTTGTGCTTTCAATATTGCCGGAGATATAAAGAGTTTGGTTCAGATTTCAATTTTGTTAAATAAAACCTAAATTGTCGAAATCTGAACGAAAGTCTTCATATCTCGGGCAATATTGAAAGCACAAAAAAGGCAGACCACATTTTGGAAATGGCAGGACAAGGGAAATTTTGTGATTATTGTCTCTAGAAATTTACTTACAAAATTAGGTTGACAAATAAACGCAGCAAATTATATCAAAAATCAAGACGACATTCAAGTCGTCCTGCATACTGTCTTGTTTCGTGGGACACCCTGTAGTTAATAGAATATACGGGGAAACGTTTGCAAGGTATATATGAGAATCGTTTTGCATGGCTTCTAGGAACAGTTTTTAAAAACTTGTCAAAAAGGCACTTTTCTTGTTTTTTGTTTGAATTAGAACATCTGAATCATGAGAAGTGTTTGTGACACGCACTTCTAGATTTAGAATTAGCATTTACAAATGTTAGAATTAAATCAAATGTAACAAAAATGATGCCATAACAGTCGTTGGTGTACAATCCGTGTACTGTATAACCTCTGATTGCATATTGTTTTGAATTCTTAAAGGGACTGTAAACGTAATTCCAAGTGGAATGCCTGATTCACATCGGTATCTTTAAAAGTTTTACCTGAATGATCGCTATCCATAATTTGAAATTGTTTCTCTGTATAGTGACTTGCGTTTCTGCTTTAGAAATGTAGAAACGTTTGCACACTGATGAACAGATAAAGGTAAACAGGGTACCGTTGTGAATGCAGCATGTCCCACTTTAGATGGAATGTTAGTTGAAATAACAATGACAGTCCCTTTAATATGTTTAAGAACCAGTTTACCAGCCTCAAGTTAAAAAGTACATAGTCCTCTATGGGTTGAGTACACAATACACATGAAACTCGGTACAATATATATGAACCAAGAAGTAAAATTAATTTGTACTGTACGGTAAATATATTCACCGTGAATGATGCTTTAAAAAGAGATTGATTTTAATCTAAGTTACCCCCGTCAACCCGGGTACCCAAAGGTACCCCCAGGTACCTCCCGATACCCCTTGGTATTTACCAGGGACACCCAGGTCCCATTTAAATAACTCCCCCCACCCGGTTCCTCAAGGTACCCTCAGGTTCCTCCAGGTACTCCAAGGTTCCTCCAGGTACCCCAAGGTTCCTCCAGGTACCCCTGGGTGCCTCCAGGTACCCACTGATACACCCACGTACCCAATTGTACTCAAAGATAACCCAAATGTTTATTAAGTAAAGAATATTCTCTAGAAAATAAACCATTACACGCAGGTGTGTTTCTTCCTTTCAGTTCCCTTAAAAATAAAATTTTCTGTTTTTTTAAAGCATGTGTTTTTTATTTCATTTTGTTTCAACTAAAAAAGAAAACTAAAAAAGAACCTAATAAAGTTAAGAACACCTATAGTTCTGAGCACTACTCTATCTAATAATAATAAACTAATAAAGAGTAAATTTCAGGCGGGATTTAATTTGACTTTATTTTGAGTAAAGAATTATTTATAGGTGTGACAATTCTCCTTTCCCTGACTATATTTCTAAACACGGTATCTGCAATCATCCCTATAACCTCTGATAGCCCTCTCATAGGTAACCATAGACACCTGGAGTCTTAACTCTCACTAGTTTTCATACATTTACACCAGGGTGAATGGACACCAGTCTAAACTAGAAGATAAATGTATCAAAATTATCCTTATTCTGTAGTTAAATGTTTTTCCTATCGTATCCGCAGCTCCTGGTGTTTTTAACACAAGTGGAGTTTATTGTTTATCAATGTTTTCTTTTTCCCTCAACCGTTGATTATTAGCAGACTAAACCATGGTTGTGTGCTCAGAATTATGATGTATAAACTATTTACTAATAGCAGAGGGGATAAAACTGTTCCCAATGCGTTCTAAATTCAAATTTTTATTGTTTATTTATTTTGAGTTTTATATCTGGTCTCTAGTACAGAAGAATATTGGAAATTTCAGGTATAACCGTTCTGTTATCATTGACGGTCTTCCAGAGTATAGTTACTGAAACACTACCACAAGTTAGCGACGCTATTCCAGCACTAGGTAGTTACATCGTATGTACACACATGTACACTATACAGTAGAAGCTCTTCTTTGCCTGCATTCCCTCTTGCAAGGATATTGTGGTGTGTACAACTACTAGTGCTATAAACCCCTAAATATTATAACATGTTTTAGATGTTACTGTATTTCTATCTTTGACAGTGTTTCAAAAGATTATAATGGAAACCTTGCCTGAGGTTTCTACAGCAATGCCTGTGCTAGGTAGAATATATGTATCCCTAGTAATCCACCAGCTAATATACTTGCAAGAATCGAGTTTATCCCTGCAAGATTTACATGTACCTTACTGTTTATCTATGTTATATCTATATGTATGTACACATCATGGACTCTCAACAGTTTGAATATTTCACTTGGTTGCAATATCTTCCAATACATGAGTATTGAGTAGAACGAAACCACTTAAATTAATGGAAGGTCATTGGAGTAAAAGAGAAAAACAACTATACCAACTTTAACAATTGATGGTTTTACTCAGTCCTGGTCTCTTCAGATTATTTTTGGGAAAAGAAGAAGTAAGAACGAAAAGAAAACAATATTTCCTCAAGCTGGTAACGATCTTATCTGCAATACCTTTAAGAGGTTTTATAATTGAAAAACCTCTCATGACCCCCCCCCCCCCCCTCCCCGTGATCCAGCCTAAAAATTCAAACTGTTCACATGATAAATTGGCTCTATTTCTTTATTCGATCTGATTGTACGTACGTGCCTCCCCCACCCCCCTCTGGTGGATAAGCAGGCTAGGACGGACAGGGTTAAAGAATATCTGAATGTTTCTAAATGTGTTCCAACCTATTTCAGGAGTTACAGTTCTCCTCACACTAACTGTATTTAGCATAATGGTTAACGAAATGCTACCCCGGGTATCTGATGCTGTTCCTATAATAGGTTAGAGAATGGAACTATATATATATATATATTAATATATAAACATACTACTTATTCTACTACCATGGGTGTTTTTAATAAAACAAACTTATCAAACTTTTATTTGATAATTTTGTTTTCTGTATCTCTTAAATGTTTGCAGGCCCGGCTGTATTGTTGTGTTCCCCCATATGATGTTTCGCATTTAAAACTAGTTTCCTTATCTCCACCTCCTTCATTCTCCCTTCTTGCTTCTTCCTGCCAAACCCCATATTGAAGCTTTGGCAGGAAATCCGTGTACATAAAGGGTGGAAATAACTAGTATTGAATTTAAATATTTATATGATTATAGGTGTTACTATCATGTTAAGCATCACTATCTATGCAACTATTGTTGGGGATACCCTGCCCGTGTCAGATGCAACGCCTCTCATAGGTCAGAATCTCTACTGTAAAAGGACCCAAAGTTTATGCATTGATTTTTGAGACAACTTGATGCAGTTCTCTCTATAATTTGAAATTATCTCACAGGCATGGTTTCATAAGTCATTTGCATGGTGACGCAGAGACCTTTTATTGAGCAGATTTTTTGAAGGATAAATATAAATATATAGATATATATATATATATATATACATAAACTTATATCTAATAGAGGAAAATTATTGAGTAGTAGATAGCGGTGTCTGTATTAGTGAATAAGAATAAGAATCAGATGAAATAGATATTTTCTAGGAAACCTTTAATCTGTAGGCTCACATGTAGATAACAATTTTAAATTACAGACATGTATATGTAAAATGAGTAATGAAGGGCAAAGATCAAATGGGGAGTATGGCATGCATGGTATCCTCTCTCTCTCTCTCTGCACGAAGAATTAACAAATATCTAAATATTTCAGGTTTAAACAAGATGATCAATCTAAACCCAATGATAACAGAGCAAGTGTTAAGTTTAAAGATAAAATCAGCTGACTAAAATCAGCTGACTAAAATCCAAATATAAAAAAGATAATCCCCTCTGCTAACGGTTCAAATGGTTGTAGTCTGCTAAACAAATAAACTAAAAAATAAACCTAAACACTAAATAATGCCAGGATGCTTAACATTAAAAAACTAAGTCTAAATAAAAAACTTAAAATCTAAAAAAATCTATTTAAACATTTAAATTTGCATGTCCAGCTTTTAAAATACATTTAACATCCTTCAGGCATTTCTAGTGAGTTCAATCAATAAAGCACCAACACGCAAAGGAATTTTATTTATCACAATAAATTAATGTATTACCATTGCATTTTGGTGCTACGTTTGCTTTCTTGAAAATTGAATTTTTTTTATCGAGAGTTGGAAGGTAGGGAGAGATCATGGTTTTTACAAGGGTTGGGGCGACTTAAAAATATTTTTCAATTTGGTTGATAATATTTCTAATGGGTTTATTGACATAGTTTTAAGCGACCATATATTCCAAGAGTTATAATTCCGATTCATTACCCCTTAGACATCTAAAACTAGAAACTAGTCGTTTTTATGGCTTGAAAACTGATAAATTCTGCAAATTCCTTTTCATATCTGAAAACCACTTTTATAGAGAAAACTATATCGACAGTACTGTAGTTCCTTTCTATAAATATAGTTTTAGAATTTCTGAGGGTTTTGTTTAATAATCGTCCCTAGACAGTACCCAGCCAGAAGGGACGGTTTCTAAGCCTTACTTCTGAAAAAGAAAATTACCAATCAATTCGTTTATTTTTTATGAGTCACCCTGCCTCTTTACAAACTGAACTTCTCCCTTGGAAATCATTCTTTTCAAGGAAGCATGAAATTCAGAATTAGAGATATTTTATACTGATTTGTTTTTATATTTAGGAACTTATTTCAATTGTATCATGTTCATGGTTGCTAGTAGTGTAGTTACTACTATCATGATACTAAACTACCATCACAGGCTTGCAGATACTCATGAAATGCCAGATTGGGTAAGTAAGATCTGTAAAGGGATTGTATGGATTGGATTAATAGGATCGTAAAGGGATTGTATGGATTAGGTGAATAAGATTTGTAAAGGGATTGTATGGATTGGATGAATAAGATCTCTAAAAGGATTGTATGGATTGGGATAATAGGATCTGTAAATGGATTGTATGGATTGGGTTAACAGGATCTGTAAAGGGATTGTATGGATTGGGTGAATAATATCTGTAAAAGGATTTATGGATTGGGTTAATAAAATCTGTAAAGGGATTGTATGGATTGGGTGAATAAGATTTGTAAAGGGATTGTATGAATTGGGCTAATAAGATCTTTAAAGGGATTGTATGGATCGGGTTAATAGGATCTGTAAAGGGATTTTATGAATTGGGTTAATAAGATCTGTAAAGGGATTGTAAGGATTGGGTTAAAAAGATCTGTAAAGGGATTATATGGATTGGGTTAACAGGATCTGTAAAGAGGATTGTATGGATTGGATGAATAAAATCTGTAAAGGGATTGTATGGATTGGATGAATAAGATCTGTAAAGGGATTGTATGGATTGGGTTAATAAGATCTGTAGAGGGGTTGTATGGATTGGGTTAATAATATCTGTAAAGGGATTGTATGGATTGGGTGAGTAAGATCTGTAAAAGTATTTATGGATTGGGTCAATAAGATCTGTAAAGGGATTGTATGAATTGGGTTAATAAGATCTTTAAGGATTGGGTGAATAAGAAATTTATTAAGGGATCAGATATCATCTTGATATTTAATCAACATGGATCAGATATCATCTTGATATTTATTATTCATGGATCAGATATCATCTTGATATTTATTAAACATGGATCAGATATCAAATTGATATTTATTAAACATGGATCAGATAAAATCTTGATATTTAGTAAACATGGATCAGATATCATCTTGATATTTATTAAACTCATCTTGATATTTAGTAAACAGGGATCAGATATCATCTTGATATTTATTAAACAGGTATTAGATATCATCTTGATATTTAGTAAACATGGATCAGATATCATCTTGATATTTATTAAACGTGGATCAGATATCATCTTGATATTTATTAAACATGGATCGGATATCATCTTGATATTTATTATTTATGGATCAGATATCATCTTGATATTTATTAAACAGGGATCAGATATCATCTTGATATTTATTAAACATCATCTTAATATTAAGTAAACATGGATCAGATATCATCTTGATATTTATTAAACAGGGATCAGATATCATCTTGATATTTAGTAAACATGGATCAGATATCATCTTGATATTTATTAAACATGAATCAGATATCATCTTGATATTTAGTAAACAGGGATCAGATATCATCTTGATATTTATTAAACAGGTATTAGATATCATCTTGATATTTATTAAACATGGATCAGATATCATCTTGATATTTATTAAACATGGATCAGATATCATCTTGATATTTAGTAAACAGGGATCAGATATCATCTTGATATTTATTAAATATTAATCAGATATCATCTTGATATTTATTAAATATTGATCAGATATCATCTTGATATTTAGTAAACAAGGATCAGATATCATCTTGATATTTATTAAATATTGGTCAGATATCATCTTGATATTTATTAAACAGGGATCAGTTAAAGGGTGTCCAAGTATCCATGACAATTGAGAGACGACTGGGAAGGTTGTCTTAAATCTGTGATTATCCAATTGAAAAAACATTTATCTTAAAAGGTTTCATGGCTTATTAGCATTTCGGGATGTAAACATGGTTTAGTGAGACGTCTCTAGGTCTTTCTAGTATAGAATAAATGTACATATTTGTCCTAGGTTCGAGTTCTATTCCTGCAATGGATTCCCTGGCTGCTACGAATGTCTAGACCAGGAGAAAAGATTACAAGAAAAACTATCATGATGCAAAACAAGATGAAGGAATTGGATTTGAAAGAGAAATCGTCTAAATCTCTGCTTGCTAATGTCCTTGATATGGATGATGATTTCCGCCCCTCCTCTACACTGCCGCATAGTCATGTTCATCCTCATCATCCTAGTCATGCTCATCCTCAACAGAATAATGGAGGATTTATCAGGTAGGTCTTCATCCAGACTAGATATAGAGTTCATCCAGAATAGAGTTCATCTAAAATAGAGTTTATCTAAAATATAGTTCATTCAGACTAGAGTTCATACAGACTATAGTGTTCACCTAGACTAGTGTTCATCCAGACTAGAGTTCATCCAGAATAGAGTTCATCCAGACAATAGGATTAGAGTTCATCCAAACTACAGTTCATCCAGACTAGAGTTCATCCAGGCTAGAGTTCATCTAGACAAAAGTTCATCCAGACTAGGGTTCATCCAGACTATAGGATTAGGGTTCATCCAAACTACAGTTCATTCAGACTAGAGTTCATCCAGACTAGTGTTCATCCTGTCTAAATAAACTTAAGAGTTTAAAATAATTGCAGTACAGCTTAGAAAATTTGCAGTACAGTTTGGAATATTTGCAGTACAGTATCGAATACTTTCAGTACAGTTTAGAATATTTAGGCAAATGAGTGTGGATCGTGAGCCCTGGCCTA